AGTGCTAGTGTGAGTATATGCTTTAAGGCTCTGTTTCACTTCCGTACGAATTGAACGTCGTACGGTTGTTGCTACAGATATCTGTTATGTGCCTGATTGACGGCACGCTCACACTAGGTACCAAATCCCCATTTTCCCCCAAAAAAGGGTTCCCGGACAGTCACAATGGTGAACATCTGCCCAAATTCTCAAAAGGGGTGACCATTTGTCAGCGGCCTGCGAAGCCGCGGGGGAAGGAAATTTGCGGTGACCTCCGGAGGTTACCGCAAWTTCTCAAATCWTTTTCYGAATTACCRTGMAAAATTGGAGAAAAAATGGAACCCCACGATATTAGCGGCCTATCAATTGAAGAAAAGGAAATTTGGGGAAATGGGTGCACGCACGGAGCGGTCAGACGCGCGGAGCACGAGCAGAGAGGTTCGTATGGACACCCGTTGCCAGCAGTAACGACCCAAAAAAAAAAAAAGGAAAAAACAGATTGTAAAAACTGAACAATTGCATTTCCCATTTGAGGTACCACCGTGTGACCGGCGCCCTCCACAAGCACCTCGCAGAGAGCGATGTCGCGACCTTGTCTTTAGCGTGTTGGGAACACTGTGTGACCGGCCAGGGCCACATTTCCTCAAAACGGCCAGTCCCATTTTCCCATTTTTTTGGGAATTTGGGTACCTAGTGTGAGCGTGCCCTGAAACGAGATACATGTCATCCACACGACGATCCCATACACATGCGCGACGACAAGTCTTAGGGCACGCTCACACTAGGTACCAAATCCCCATTTCCCCAAATAAAAAGGATTCCCGGACAGTCACACATGCTGAACATCTGCCCAAATTCTCAAAAGGGATGACCATTTGTCAGCGGCCTGCGAAGCCGCGAGGGGAGGAAATTTGCGGTGACGTAGGTTACCGCAAATTCTCAAATCTTTTTCTGAATTATCTTTCATTATTGGAAAAACATGGAACCCCACGATATTAGCCGCCTATCAATTGACGAAAACGAATTTTGGGAAAATGGGCGCACGCGTGGAGCGGTCAGACGCGCGTGTCCCCTTTTTTGGTGCGAACGGCCAGCAGTCAAGACCCCTCCCCCCCAAAAAAAGGAAAAAAGCAGATTATAAAAAACGAAAAATTGCATTTCCTTTTGGGTATCCAGCGTGTGACCGGCGTCCTGCACAAGCACCTCGAAGAGCACGATGTAGCGACCTTGTCTTTAGCGTTTTGGGAACGCAGTGTGACCGGCCAGGGCCGCATTTCCTCAAAACGGCCGTTCCCATTTTCCCATTTTTTGGGAATTTGGGTACCTAGTGTGAGCGTGCCCTTAGGGCGTCGCCCCACGGGACACGAAACGAAAAACGAAACGAGTGCATCATCCTGCAGAAAATGGCCAGGTTCATCGGATTGCTATAAATAGTAACGAGTGTATTTTGCCACCTTTCCTAGGCAGATGCACTCGTCTCGTTTTCGTTTCGTGTGCCGTGCGGCGAGACCCTTAAGAGGTCTTGGAGAGAGCAGTTCGCACCACACCAAATGAGAGAATACACAGGCAGAAGCACGGAAACCGAAAATAGAATTGAAAAACAAAAAAAAAAAAGAAGAATTGAAATCTGAAGTTAAATCAACTAATCAATACCCCGCCAAAAAAAAATAAAAAATAAAAAAAATCAATACCCCGCTCACTCCAGGCTCCGGCCAATCAACACACTATTCCCAAGAATCCCAACCACGTTATAAATAGTTTTTTAATACCCTTCTTTTTTTTTTTTTTTTTTTTTGGTATTTTAATACCCTGAAACCAAATATTTACAAATTTCATCATCGGAGTACATATTGGGAGGGAGTCAATTCTTCATCGTCCTCCTTCACCACCAAGCTCTTGCTATGGCGCAGACAGCGGCCAACGTATTCAAGACAGCCAACACTACACCACCCTCCTGCGTCCGACACAGCAACCCGCAGCGACCTCAAATCCCAGCTGCGGATGAAGAGTCCAGTCAGCATAGGAGCAGAGCTCCCAGGATGGAGAAGAAGAACACCAACAAGATGAAGATGGAACCTGCCGCTGTTGAAGACGGTCAGTGACACATGGAAGAGCTGCTTCGAAGGCAGCTGAAGTAGAGGCCCACCAGTACACTTGGGGAGGACGATGCCAACCATCGCGTAGGAGCTGAAGCCCGGCGCTGCAATCGATAGAGCTGGCTGGCCCGACAGAGCTATGGCTGCCGGCTATCCAGGGAGAAGGGCTGCTCAGCGCTGTTGAAAATAGCGCACTGCCGCATAACGTGACCTCCCGCCTTCGTGATCAGGCCACCCTAAGGCTATCAGGTAACCCTGGGCTGAAAAGGCCACCGTTGTCAGATTAGACACAAGATTGATTTTACCTGGGCTGGTTAGTCCGATGATAATACCTCAAGGCCATCCCCCTTTAAAAAAAAAAAAAAAAAAAAAAAAAAAGGGTCGTGAAAAGAAAAGAAGTAAGAAACCGTTCCAAGTTGGCCTCTGCCTATTTCTACTCAACCTCCTAGGCCCAGCACACAGCAACCGCCTACCGACCTATCTGACCGTCCGCACAGCCCAGATCTACGGCCTACCTCTCCTTGACTTCAATTTCCACCTACTGCAGCCCAAACTGCCACAGTCTCCGAAAAAAACAAAAACAAAAAAAACTGCCACAGTCTACATGAATCTAGACTGAAAAACAGACACAAGAGGACCCTACCACCAAGCAAAGGAAAAGCCTCGGGCCTACAACCAACTGCTGCAGAAAAAGACAAAAACGAAAAGGCACAATGGCCTAAGCGTGCCCAACAGAGACTCGCAGTACCACATCTGTGCATCAAGCCCCGGAAGGCACACGGCGAACAAACAAAAATTTGAAACAAAAATATGAGCACGAAGTCACGGGATCAAGTCCCGATTTTGTCGAAACAAGAGAACAGCAAACCTAGTTAATGTACAGCCCCCATGAGAAACTGCAACCCATTGCATAGCAGCATCGTCTAGCTCTGGACGCGCCTTACGTGGCCGTACGTGGCCAGCGTCGCCTAGCTCTGGACGTGCCGTATGTGACCGTCTGTGAACGGTTGGACAACGAAAGCGAGTACGATTCGATGGTCATGGCCAATCCAGTGCGCCGTTTGAATTTTGAGTATTAAAAAAAAAAAAGAATAATAAAAAAATCCCCACCTACTAAAAAAGTCAACGCTTCGTGACTTGCCACAGTAAGTAAACAGACAAACCTCCGTTAAAATTGGAACGATGCAGAGAAGATTAGCATGAAACAAAAAAAAACAAAAAAAAAAAAAGAAACAAACCGACTGGCTCAGTTGGTATACCTATCACCTGTTGACAGGTAGACAATTCAAATTAAAATTAAAAATTCTACTGAATTTACCTGGGGCCGATCAGTTCAAAGATGACATGTCAAGGCCGTCGCACGTCGCACTGTTTAAAAAAAAAAAGAGAACGCGGAAGGAAAAAAGGGAAAAAAACTTTAAAAAAGGGAAAAAAAAGGAAAAAGAAGTAAACAGAAAAACAGACACAGATAGACAGAGGGACAGAGGGACAGACAGAAAGGTCGACAGCGAGGCGGACAGCGAGGCAGATAGACAGACAGAGAGAAAACACAGATACAGAGTCACAGACCGACAGACACACAAGCACAATATCCCAGATACATACACACACAGAGCGAAACGGACAGACGTACACAGACATACAAACAGGCAGAAACACAGACAGAGACAGCCAGATAGACAGCCAGATAGAGAGGCGAACAACGCGGCAGACAGACACAGAGCGAAGCAGACGAACAAACAGACAGACAGACAGAAACACAGAGAACTACAGAATACAGACAGAGACGGACAGACAGAGAAACACAGACACATGGACGGACAGAGACAGACAGACCGACAGACAGAGACGGACAGACAGAAACACAGACAGACAGACAGACCGAAAGACAGACATAGACAGGCAGCTGGACAGCCAGACGGAGAGGCGAACAGCGTGGCTGGCAGACAGACACAGACAGAGAGACGGAAAAACAGACAGAGACAGGCACAGACTGACAGACAGAGAAACACAGACTGACAGACAGACACACAGACACACAGGCAGAAGGACACCACCGTAATCTATCTCAGTTAAGTAAACTGACATTGTCTGTCCGACTACAGTCTTCACCCGAATACAACGAACCGTCATTATAGCTGTATTTGGGCTATCTTGCCGTCTAAATACAGCCATAATGACCGTACGTTGTATTCAGGTGAAGAAGGTAGTTATCGCTGTTACGTGAGCGGAGGTAAAGCCAAGTTAGGTGTGAAGTTACCGCAGCAAATTATCAGTTACCGCATTCTACCTTCTTCCCCCGAATACAACGTACGCTCAATATAGCTGTATTTAGACTGAAAGATGCCCCAAATACAGCTATAATGACCGTAAGTCGTATTCGGGGGAAAAAGGTAGCTACCGATCGTAACTTACCGCAGTAATTCAGCAGCACACAATGTCATGGTAACATCTCTGAACCAACAGTAATTTACAGTGGGTTTAAAAAAGAAAAAAAAGAAAAAAAATTACAGTGGGTGTCAGTACCTATCTATAGCTTAGACAATTGTCTATCTAGCATAGCAAGAGCGGATTCCTCAAGATACGGTCGATCTTGCCTTGGAAGTGAGCCAGGGAATTGCCGAATCACAGGAGGCACACCAGCAAATGGTGGGCCCCACCACACATCAGTGCTGAACCAGCTTGTGCTTGGGGTTCCACCTTGCAGAAGTGCGTTGGCACTATGCTCCGTTAACCTCCGTTACGCTCCGTCAAACTCCGTTATAATGCTGATCGACCGACGCTCGGCGCGCAATGTTTACGGCAAACCCTCTTTGTCATAATTTCCACCGCTCATCCTATCAGATGACCTCAGTCGGCAAAATACAGCAATTGTTCAACACCTTGGCGTTATGTTCCGTTTAAATCCGTTACGCTCCCCGTTAACAGCCTTAGCAGCGTTGATTGATCGACCGACGCTCGGCGCGCAATGTTTACCGCTCTTAATCATGATTTCCACTTCTCGTTCAATCAGATGAGCTCAGTCGGCAATACGATGCAGTAATTATTGTCCAACGTCTCCAATCCAATCACTTTGCGGCCATGGCTGCACTTCTTCGCAATCGATCGCCTATGTTGTTCCTTCAAGCAGAGCCCTCAACCCACAGTAATGTCGATAACGTCACTAAAATCTCCGTCAATGCGTCAAGGCAAACTCCAGATTAGATGACCTCCCCACATCGTTTTTTCTTTTTCTTTTTCTTTTTCTTTTTTTCCTTGCCGTCATTTCGACTTGACGAACTTCACGGTAACTCCGTCATCGCGCTGACCTTATCAAAAATCCATTAATCCACGCACAAACACACACACACACAGAGAGAGAGAGAGAGAGAGAGAGAGAGAGAGAGAGAGAGAGAGAGAGAGAGAGAGAGAGAGGCATTCAATTCAACGCTTGTTGTCGAGATCCAACTGGCAGCAGAGCCGTCCCGGCCGTAGAAATCCGCTGCGTAGATGTCTCGACATGCTTCATACAGCTGGCACCGACGTGAACGACGAAGCCGTAAACAATAAGAGAATGACATCCGGGGAACAAAAAAAAAAAAAAAAAAAAAAAAAAAAAAAAAAAAAAAAAACCCCAAACACCCCCCCCCCCCCCCCCCCCCCCCCCCCCACCCCCCCCCCCCCCCCCCCCCCTCCAATGATACTCCAAGTCTCGAACATCGTTGACCGAACAGCTCCCTCCTGCCTTCTCCGCCCTCTTCACCGCTCATGGCTTCCTGAAAGCCCGATCAACCTCGCATCGAGAACTTCAAAAGAAATGGAGAGAGAGAGAGAGAGAGAGAGAGAGAGAGAGAGAGAGAGAGAGAGAGAGAGAGAGAGAGAGACGCGGAAGAGATGACCGAGATGAATTCAACTGACCATGACCGAGTCCGCAGGCTTCGTTTTCCCCCTGGCGTCCCCTTCCGCCTCCGCCTGCCCATCCTCCTCCGCTTCTCCCTCCGCGTGCTTCGACTCCGCCGCCGCCAGATTCTCAACATCGATAAGCCTCGCCATCGCCCCCTCCAGCTCTCTCACTTCTACCCCCGCTCCCTCCAGCATCCCCTCCACTCTCCCTCCCCCCTCCATTTGAAACGTACTGGAGTTTCTTCTTCTTCGCTCCAGATACCCAATCAAGTACTCCGTCATTCTCCTTCCCGCGCGCAAGTAGTCGGCGGCCGCTAACCCATCCGATCGTCGAGTACCATCACCATGATCACCATCACCATCATCGTCACCACCGGCGGCGGCGGCAGCGGCGGCGGCAGCGGCGGCAATATCGTTAGCTACGGCCGCCGCCACCGACCCCGGTTCCACCGCCGCCGCCGTCGCCGTCGCCGCCGCTTCAATCGCAGCAACAGAAGCAGTTGTTATCCGATCACCACCACATGATGCGCTCCCGCTTTCCCCCCTCTCCCTCCCCCTCCCCCTCCCCGCGCGCAGATGCTCCACAAACTCCTCCACTTCCACTCTTATCACGTCCTGCCGCACACCGACATCAACAGCGTAGCGCCCCCAAAAGTACATCCCGACTGCCACCGCCGCCGATCCCAGCGGACTGGCTGTCAAAATTCTCCCCGGTACTGCCAAGAGGAAAGACGCGGGAACGAGCCCCGCCGACGCCGCTTGATTGCTCCTCCCCACGTCCGCCTTCGTCATCAACAAGCCTGTCTTGCAATAGATTGCGAAATCCTCACAGTTGTTGCAGAACACGTCGTAGTCGCCGAAGCCGTGATCGAGAAGATAGCGAGATCGATGAAGGGTCAGCGATGGTGGGTCGTCTGTGGCCATGGTGCAGGTGCCGCCTCGCAGCTTGCCCAAGAAAGTCAACGCGTTGACGGAGTACTGGAAGCGGTAGAGATTGCCACCGGCCAAGAAACAAGTCAAACAAGACCGGATGACGCCGTTGCCGCTGTGGACTCGAGACTTGAACGCCGCGCTGCAAGACGCGCAGGGGCAGTGTTCCGCCACAGGGGGTAGGGACGACATTCCGCGCAGAAACAGCCAGACGCTGCGCATCGCAACCTCCTCAGAACCGTCCGTGAAGTGGATCACTTGCTGCTTCCCCTCGTATATCCCATGATGAGCATACATATAACCGTTCCTCCACGAGTAGATGTGGTCCCCGGGCCTCAGATCCGACTCTGCAATCCTATTCGACCACAACCCCCTTGCACCCTCCATCGTCAAACCCCTTCTCGCCATCTCTCTCTCTCTCTCTCTCTCTCTCTCTCTCTCTCTCTCTCTCTCTCTCTCTCTCTCTCTCTCTCTCACACACACACACACACACACACNCTCTCTCTCTCTCTCTCTCTCTCTCTCTCTCTCTCTCTCTCTCTCTCACACACACACACACACACACACACACACACACACACACACACACAAGGACAGAGAAAACCGAACCGAAAACGGAGACGGACACGCTGTCTGAGTATCGCTACGTTATACAGCCTACGTGGTTCTATCGTTTGTATATTTGTTGGTGCACACACAAGCGACTTGCCTTCTCTGTCAGCCCGCTACGAATGATGGTAAGCTCTGACAAGCATTCCCTGACTTGGCTTCTCTCTCAACCCGATCCGAAAGATGGAAAGCTCTAATGAGCATCCCCTTCTCCCTCTCCCTCTCCCTCTCCCTCTCTCTCCCGACAACCGTGAGGTAGTGCCTCTCTTTGGCACACCGCCTCGCACACACTGCCTCGTTCCGAGCCTGTAGTACACGGCAGCCCCTCTCTTTGGCAGAACCGCGCCCACTATGACACACACACGCAGACCCACGCAATCCACACATGCCAACCTTTTTCCCCCGAATACAACGTACGGTCATTATAGCTGTATTTGGGGCATCTTTAGTCTAAATACAGCTATAATGACCGTTCGTTGTATTCGGGGGAAGAAGGGTAGCTCATCGCCTACAAAAGGTTCAAAAACATTTCGAGTGGTGCTTGTCAATTTCATTCTTCCTTTCTTCCCCAGTCGTCTTTTCCCGGTCGCTGCTCTGCTCTGCTCTGCTCTGCTCTGCTCCGCTCCGCCTATCTGCCCCTACTGTAGAACAGTACAGTATATGGTAATAAACGTTCCTACTCGGCTCTGTTACGGCACGCCTGTCTTGCGACTCTTGCCCTATCGTAGAACAGTTTAAAAAAAAAAAAAAAAAAAAAAAAACTGCGTGCAGTGACTCATGTTGGCACGCCCGTCTGCCCCTTCTGGGGTACGATACAGAAAGTAGAGCATAATGGCACAAAGACTTTTGTGGATGCACCTGACCGGAAATGCAGGCTACGACTGCATGCATGTGACCTGGCACAAAGACTTTTGTGGATGCACCTGACCGGAAATGCAGGCTACGACTGCATGCATGTGACCGAAGTTACGTCACGAGATGAGTCAGAAAAGTCATCCGGTGCCTATGCCCTTGATTTCAGTTTTGCTCCAGTGTGTGGGGAGCGGAAGCTGCTACAGAACAATGCAGCAAGATGAACGAGCGCGCTCACGTAACCCTGGAAGGACGACTGTTCGTAGTCGTGGCGGCACTGGCGGGAGCTACCCTTCGTCCAACCGACACTGTTGTGGTGCCAACCCACCCGTGGGCTGGAGAGAGTGGTTGGGTGGTGGTCCCGCCGTACTATACATAGACAAGTGAGAGGATGAGATAGATGAGGATGAGACAGATGCCTTCTACCAAGAAAGATGAAATAGCATCCGATAGATAAGTGATGGGACTGGACTCAGGACTACAACTTTTGATTTCGAGGAGTGTGCCAGTCCTTTCCTTCCTTTGAGCATGAGATCTTAGTGTGCCAGTCCTTTCCTTCCTTTGAGCATGAGATCTTCAGAAGTTTACAAACTAGTAGGAGATCGACTTTTCTGTGCTTCTAGATTAAGGGTTTTTTTTTTTTTTTTTTTTTTTTTTTTTTTTTTTTTTTTTTTTTTTTTTTTTTTTTTTTTTTTTTTTTTTTTTTTCTATACTCTTCTCTCAATTTCTGTTTCTTTACCTTCCACTACCTACTCCTAAGACTATCTAGAGGGGACCCCTGCAAGCATAGTTTCCTCTCTCTGTGAAGGGGAGACTTCATGTTGCCCCTTGCCCCTTAGGGTATAGGGTTGGGGCCGCCAGTGGGGGTCTGGCTAACACAAAGACCGAGACCTGCCAGTAGCTGTGCCTCCCTTTCTCATCGTCCCCCACCCTTCATCGAGTAGCAGCAGAGGCTATGGCCAACACTCTCCCACACACCACACACAACCCACTCGCCCTCACACTCACACCCATGTTGGTCATAGACCCCGCTAATACCGATCAGGGGTATCCAGAGGACTATCACAGTCCGTTGGCACTAAGTGCGCCGCAGGCGGCCATGGGGCTTGAACCCACAACCTCCTGAATGCCACTTGCATGCCTAACCAACTGAGCTAGGCCGCTGGAAAGCACAGTGATTTTTATTTTTTATTTTTTATTTTTTTATTATTATTATTATTTTTCCCGAAATTGCACTTTTATTAACAGGGCCCATTGCCCAAGGCAATGACATCATCAGCACAATCAGCAACCAGGGACTCAGGGTTGTCCTGCCCCTCCAGAAGCTCAGAGCCCCGTCCCTGCATACACAATCGTCCCACTCCTTACTCAATCACAGCACCAGCCCTGTCACAAACCTTTCTACTCTCGTCTCCAACCCTAATACTCCCCACGAACTATAGAATAGAAAAGCAATGCTATTATCTATAGTATGCAACTCCTTCCCTACAACAATATCCAAACAAATACCACCCAGAACCAACAAGAAAGTCAAGAAGGCAATCATCCGGCGCTTTCCCCCCCCACCGAACCGTCCTGCCACCCGCACGGCAGGGGTCCCTATCCACAGGCCCCCAACTGCAGACAAAGACCCCACGAAACCCACCCTCCTCATCGCGATTCAGGACAGATCGCACCTCTACTCACACTCACCATTACCAAAAGACACCACCTCCCACCGTGATGGTGCTTATGCAAGCCAGCGGCCGCACCCTACCACCCGCGCGGCAGGGGCCAAAGACCCCGCAAAACCCTCCCTCCTCCTCGCGATTTAAGGTGCTCGACTACCCCTATCTGCATCAACTCCTAACAGAACCTCACCGCCCTCCATGATGAAGTCCCAACAGAGTTACTTTCCAGCATGAGGATGTTCCTATAAGCTAAACTGGCTGAGGCTGCCAGGATAACTCCGGGTCGAATTGTGAGGTCCCCGGCCTCGTCCCTGGTTTTTGCAATATATTGACGACTTTCCAAAAAAAAAAAATAAAAAAAAATAGCATCCGTTAAAATTGGAGCGATACAGAGAAGATTAGCATGGCCCCTGGGGTTAAGTCCCACTAGCGTCGATTAAATCGGTATCATGACAGAGCTTCAGTGCATCCACACTTCCACCAACCCGGTACATCTGCATGCGACCTTCCCGCCGGCCTTTTCGCAGTCTTCCACGGAAATCTCAATATTCTCAATTTTACCACATAAAAAAAAGAAAACAACATCGATGCAAAAACGCCCCCCCCCCCTCCGACCTCCCTAATATTGCAGCTTCGCGCCAACGCAAAGTGGCTAGCTAAATGGGCAAAAAAATGAAAAGGAAACTCTTCTATTGGCCGGCGGACAGATACCCTAACGAAATAGGTCCTTATCCCCCTGCGCCGATGATACACAAAAGGATCAACGATCACCGGATGTCACCTCGTGCCGCACGTGGTTGAAAACCATGGAGCCGAAGAGTAAATCGATGCTAGTGGGACTTGGCCCCTGCGTAGGGATGACACACATAAATCGAGAAATGGTCCAAATTAAATAAAAAAAAAAAAAAAAAAAAAAGAGTATAGCTTACCTTTATTTGAAAAAACAACAACAACAACAAGATACACTCGTTATATTATAGCTGTATTTTGGATATCGTTTAGTCTAAATACAGCGGTAAGGACCGGCGTAGGTTGTATTCGGCTACAGGAGTGTGGGAATACGGCGCACACTGTGCGTAGTGTGCGACACTCAAAACTGCCTCGAATGTGACAGCTGCTCGTCGAAGAGGCATGCCTCCCAAGCGGTGCGGTAAGCACCTGCCGTACCCTCCACAGACGATATGGGGAATTTCCAGGACTGTCACACCAAAGTAACCTCCCTTCTTATGCTGCAGCCAGAGAGGGTCTCACCTCAACACTCCTTACCCCTATCTCGGTTTGAACCGAGACAGGGGTAGCTCATGCTATTGGCCAAGTCTAGTCTTATATATATATATATATATATGTATATATATATCGTCACAAACAGAACTGCCCGGTAAACCGTAGGCAGAGAGAGAGAAGAGGACAACAAACGAGGGGCTGTGACAAACTGTTTCGTCGAAGTTTCACCGACTCATCATATATATATATATATATATATATATATAATCTGATATGTGATGGAGGTCTTTTTGGATCTGGAATGCTAATATAGAGACTCGAACCGTGGTTGGTGGGACCTTGAGTGTTGGTAATTGGATTCGAACCGTCGTTGGTGTGACCTTGAGTGTTGTTAATGGGATTCGAACCGTGATCGATTTTTTTCAAAAAGGACTATGATTAGGTGTTTGTGAGGATATCCGAAATATGGTTGAGTTTTCCGTCGAGATAGGTAGATTTGAACTCTGGTTTAGGTGTTTGTGAGGATATCCGAACTACGGTTGAGTTTTTTCGTCGAGATAGGTAGATTTGAACTCTGGTCGACCTTTGTGAGAAGAAGGACGTGAGTAAGAATCGGCGATATCGTGGCATTTACTTTTCGTGGTACGAATTGTTGCGGTTACTATAGGTAGATTTGAACTCTGGTTTAGGTGTTTGTAAGGATATCCGAACTACGGTTGAGTTTTTTCATCAAGATAGGTAGATTTGAACTCTGGTCGACCTTTGTGAGAAGAAGGACGTGAGTAAGAATCGGCGATATCGTGGCATTTACTTTTCGTGGTACGAATTGTGGCGGTTACTATCTTTTCTCTAGATCCTACCGAAGAAGTGAACAGATGAATTTGGTCGGGTAATTTGTCTAAGTACTTTTGTGTTTGTATCTAGACAGTTTTTTCGATTAGGACCTTTTGTACATAGGTAACTACGACCTTTGTTAGTATAAATAGATAGACTGTTTTACCGACCAAACGAAGACCCCTGATGAAGCTGGTCACGGCGGCCAGCCGAAACCGGTAGGGACCGTAGGGTCACTCGCAGTAAGTTCGTTATGTACTTTTCATTTTTCATTCAACGACGAACAAGTCGCGTTCGTTTTTTTTTCCATGTCTATCAAGTTTTGTCTACCCTTCTCCTTCCCCCTCCTCCCCTCCTCTCCTACTCTTCCTACTTGTTAACTGCCCTCGTCTGGTGCATGATTATCTCCTATTCTTTTTTAGG